CTTTCCTTCTTATGATGTCTTCGACGAAACCATTGGAGAAGCCGTTGTTGACTAGGACCTGCCTTACCGTACATAGTTCTTCGTCGACTTGCTTCCATTCTGAGCTGTGGCTGAGAGCACGGTCGACATATGCGTTAACAACACTCCTTTTGTACCTATCTGGGCAGTCGCTGTTGGCATTTAGGCACATTCCTATGTTCGTAAGGAAACGAACATAGGAATGTGCCTAAATGCCAACAGCGACTGCCCAGATAGGTACAAGAGGAGTGTTGTTAACGCATATGTTGACCGTGCTCTCAGCCACAGCTCAGAATGGAAGCAAGTCGACGAAGAACAATGGGTTCAACATTAGTGTTGAACCCATTGAGGTTATTCACTTTTACATCAAGAAACGACAAGTGAATAAGTGAATAACCTCAATGGGTTCAACACTAATGTTTTCAGGAAACCAACCTTTACTGGTTTAGGTTTAAATTTTAATTCCTTTGTTCCTGATATTTTTAAGAAAAATGCTATTAACACTCTACTGAATAGGGCCTTTGTTTTATGTTCTAATTGGAATAACTTTGATCAGGAAATTAATTTTCTTGTGAAATTTTTTTCAAATAATGGTTATCCTGGTTTATACTTTTATAAGGAATTTCTTAAATAAGAAGTTTCACCCATCGTGTAGGATTACTACAGTGGAAAGGGATCTTAAATATATTAAATTACCATTTTATGGCAGTATTAGCTTTTCTGTAAGGAGTCGTTTGAGGAGACTGTTGCAGCAGTGTTATCCTCAAGTAGACTTTAGATTTATTTTTGTCAACACAAATACCATAGGCTCTTATTTTAAATTTAAAGATAAAGTGCCTACCCCCTTGTGCTCAAGTGTCGTATATATGTATAATTGTTCCAGCTGTAATGCTGGATATGTCGGGAGTTCCATTCGGAACTTTAAGATTAGGATACTTGAGCACCGGGGATTATCTTTTAGGACTGGATTACCATTGTCTAAACCAGCATTTTCGGAGATTAGAAACCATTGTTATGAGTTTGATCATTCTCTGCTGGAATCTGATTTTAAAATTCTGGACACTTGTATGAATGGCCAGTCAGATTTGAGAGTAATGGAATCCTTATATATAAAGGAGCTGCGGCCTCTGTTAAATAGCAACCTTTCAGCTGTTCAATTGTTCACTGTATAGTGCACAGTAGGCCCTGTAATTGGATTTTTAGTTTATTTTGGTAGTTTAATTTTGTTTAGTTTACCATGTCTTTGCCCTTTCTTACTTATTTCAAGTCTTAACATTGTACATTAATATAATTTTTTATTTAGGATATATAATACATTTTTTGGTATTTAATTTTATTAAATATTTGAGTTTTTTATAAGATTTTGGTTAGTACTTTATAATTGTCGTTTATTCTGTTTGTATTTTACATGCATTTTTTGTAGATTTGTAGTCATTATATAAATATTTGTTATAGTGTTTAGTATCTATGTGTTAGGTATCATGTTTCACTTCTGATCACTTTACGTAAGTTTAATAGAATGGTTTGTTTTAGTAGTTATAAATTTCATCTTGTAGTTTAATGGATTTTAAATTAGTTTTAATATATGTGACAGTTAATAAGTTTTATTTGTATTGATCACATTAAGTGCGCTTAAGTGTTTTGTTTTTTAAGCTTTTTCCTTTCTTTGATAGGCAATTATATTCAGTATGAGTTCTTTGTTTACCAGCTATTTGATTGTGATTTCTGTTTTTTCTTTTAGATCTGATGATGAATACGAGAAGTATTCGAAACGTTATGTTTATTAAAGTAAAGATTCTGATACAAGATGTTCAGTATATCACTGGTTTTCCTATTCATCTTAAAATTAAGATTCCCGAAGGGAACATCGATCATAAAAATATATATATATATATATATATATATATATATATATATATATATATATATATATATATATATATATATATATATTGGTGTATACTGGCAGCAGGTTTTCTTTCAAACATGTTTCATTGAATATGACCGCATATTCTGTATTTATTATTTTCTGGTTTAGGGCTTCTATCCCTCTAACTATTTTCTTAGCATCAGGGCTTAATTGGAATAGGAGTTCTCCAAAACTCATTTTCGTACTTTTAAGGTGAAGAAAAGAAGTGATTTACTATAGAGTGTATTACACTTATTTGTATAATTTGCACGACGTTTCGAACCTCCATGGTTCATTCTCAAGTGAACAGATCTTACAATACTAGTTGATTTTATACCCGCATTAGGTCAGGTGATAATACAATGAAGGTGAAAAACATGGGGGGATACATAAGGGATAAACATAGGGGCTGCAGAAGGCTTATTGGCCCATACGAGGCATCTCCTATCTAAACACAAAGATTAATCCAGTGTACTGGATTAATCTTTGTGTTTAGATAGGAGATGCCTCGTATGGGCCAATAAGCCTTCTGCAGCCCCTATGTTTATCCCTTATGTATCCCCCCATGTTTTTCACCTTCATTGTATTATCACCTGACCTAATGCGGGTATAAAATCAACTAGTATTGTAAGATCTATTCACTTGAGAATGAACCATGGAGGTTCGAAACGTCGTGCAAATTATACAAATAAGTGTAATACACTCTATAGTAAATCACTTCTTTTCTTCACCTTAAAAGTACGAAAATGAGTTTTGGAGAACTCCTATTCCAATTAAGCCCTGATGCTAAGAAAATAGTTAGAGGGATAGAAGCCCTAAACCAGAAAATAATAAATACAGAATATGCGGTCATATTCAATGAAACATATATATATATATATATATATATATATATATATATATATATATATATATATATATATATATATATATATATATATATATATATATATACACTGAAAGGTATTCCCCTATTTCTCGGTGTATTTACATTGAGTGTTTACTTTGAGCTTGGATTATACAGCAATGCAGGAGTATTTGCATTATTGTTGATAATCCTGCGCTTGGTGGAGACAAGGGGGGGGGGGCGTGAGGGGCTACACCAAATACTAAAGGCCCAGTGGTTAAGGCGGGTGCAGAAGGATGAACTAGTAATAGCTAATAGAAAATGCCCAGTATGAGGAGCTTGCACTACTAGAAGGCATGCATGCTTCAGCTTTCCTTGAAACTCTCTCACATTGTTGATATGATATTCTTCAATGTACAATTGCCCCAATACGACTGTTTGCAATAAATTGGGAAATCTGATTGACGTGAATAACCTGCAAGAATATATAACTCTGATTGGTTCCTTCCCTGGACGTGTGATTATAAAACTTAATTAAATTTTGTTCAGTGCTCTAAATCTCTTGCAATGTTGCACTAGCAGGATTACACGAGGAAAGTAAGGCAGGCAATGCTATCTGCTTTGCCTTGATGATACCTCTGTCTCCCTCTATGTAACTTGTAGCATTGCTTGGTTTCATTAGCAGGCTTTCAGGGAAGAGGTTTAACACTTTTACGATTATCGTTTAAAGAAGTTAGTCATGGATTGTTAATTTGTTGACGTGTCGAAAGAGGTTTGTATCTTGGAAGCTGGATTTTATCAATGGATAGGAATTTATATACAAATATTTACAATAATTATTTTGCATTTAGAATATATGAAATGTGGTTTTCAATAGTATAATATTTTCCTGTGTTCCTGGCTTCAGTCATTTTGGTATTTAATTACTAGTGAGGCTTATCATCATCAATAAAATGAGTCAATTGTTATAAAAATCAGAGCAGGAATATTATTAATATCCTAACAGGCACACACACACACACACACACACACACACACACACACACACACACACACACACACACACACACACACACACACACACACACACACACATGTCAGAGTGGTTGACAAATGGAATGCATTAGGAAGTAATGTGGTGGAGGCTGACTCCATACACAGTTTCAAGTGTAGATATGATAGAGCCCAATAGGCTCAGGAACCTGTACACCTGTTGATTGACGGTTGAGAGGCGGGACCAAAGAGCCAGAGCTCAACCCCCGCAAGCACAATTTGGTGAGTACAACTAGGTGAGTACACACACACACACACACACACACACACACACATACAGTGGTGTGGTGGAGGCAGACTCCATACACAGTTTCAAATATAGATAAGATAGAGCACAATATGAACAGGAAACTGTACACCGGTTGATTGACAATTGAGAGGCGGAACCAAAGAGCCAAATCTCAACCCCCGCAATCAAAATTAGGTGAGTACACAGTGGTAAAGTAACCGCCCTTTTATAATACTCTCGTACAATACAATTATCTCCTGCCTTTTGGGATATATTTAACATTCTCTATGGTTTTTTCTCCAGTTTGATCCTATTTAAGATTATTCATTTTTGTTCCTTGATAAAGTAACTGCAATTAAGTATTGCAGTTTTCTCATACAGATACAGTTAGGTTCACATTAATGCCTTTTACATTACTTCCAACCATTAGATAGTTTAAGTTGTCTCTTGCAATTACATTTAATATCATGATCGTTTAGCACACTCTAATATCTACGTTTAAACATTCACCTTTACCTATCCTTAAGGCGCCCTTCTGCACGCTCTTACATATGTCAAAAAAGCTTCTTGTTTACTGTTTCTTAAGTTTTCTTGCTTCTTGTTATTCTGTTCCTTTAAAATTATTACCTCAGAAACTGGTGTTATGAACTTGAAGTGAACTAACTAATTTATACGACTCTTTATTCATTATCTAATATCGTCCTTTTCTAATTCCGATTTTGTTTTACTCAACCACTTGGGCTGGACGGTAGAGCAACGGTCTCCCTTCATGCAGGGCGGCGTTCAATCCCCGACTGTCCACCAAGTGGTTGGGCACCATTCCTTTCCCTCCGTCCCATCCCAAACCCTTATCCTGACCCCTTCCCAGTGCTGTATACCCGTAATGGCTTGGCGCTTTCTCCCGATAGTTCCATTTCACTCTTGTTACTGTATCTGTCGTCCAGGAACGAGACGAGTCGGGTGCTGGGCTGCTGGTCCCTGGTGCTGTGGTTCGACACCTGGAAGAAGAGTGTTATATATTGGGCTGCGGCTGCTGCAGTCCTCCTCCGCCCACACACACTCTGGCTCACCTCTGTGTCAGGTGAGATCTGTGACGCAGCTTCTACATCCAATGGGATGATCATGTCAGTACTAGATGGGGGAGTTGTGGACCCATCTGTGTGTCCAGTTACAGCCCCGCTCCTGTGCCAGGTAAGTCCACTACGGGCTCACCATTGCCCGTGCTACTTGCCCTGCTCCTGTGCCAGGTAAGTCCACTACGGGCTCACCATAGCCCGTGCTACTTGCCCTGCTCCTGTGGCAGGTAAGTCCACTACGGAATCACCATAGCCCGTACTACTTGGAACATTTTGTCCCCCAGTAGCTGAAGGTCAGTTTAAGGTGAGATCTACTGTTCAAGTATCACATGCGGTCCTATGCGTCGTCAGGCTTCACCACTTCAAGTTCCACTTGTTAAAAAAAGACGCTTTCGTTAACTTTTACAGTTTTGCCAGACCTAGAGTCAGTTAGGAGAGTTATGGGTATACTGCGAGTGGCATATATACCTTACAGTACCTGAGTGAAGCATGTAAAGAGTTGAGCTTCGAATATTTAAAGCGAACGAAGCACTTCTTAAGGAAAAACAATAGCGAGTTTGGTTTGGCATTGAGCCTTAAGTCTGTTACCTAAACGAGAGTTATTAAGGCCGTGACACTGGAATACTGACCTAATAGCAAGGATAATTTAGTCCAAGATGTTTTTCTTGTATAGGTTTAGCCAAAAATAGGTTTGGAGTTGCTTTACGCTGATGGTCTGCAGCGACTCTATCCTTAATTGACGACTGTTCCGACACATGCCTGGACAGTTTGCCGTGTCTGCAAATGATTGATCTCTCTGCTGGTGTTGCATGGTGGCCGCTGTCCTCAGGCGCTACACAGAGGTGCGGGCCGCTTCACTACTCACTGTGGAACAGGAAGCGCTGTGCTTCAAAGCGCATTGAAGTTGGAACGGAGCAGATTTGGCAGCGGGTTGTGTATACTGTTAGACCCGCGTTCAGGGCTGCTTAATTGATAGACGGCAGGACTGATAATATCAGTGTCAAGCAGACTGTTTAGAATTATTATTATGTTCTTCCCCCATCCTCTCTCTCTCTATCTCTCTCTCTCTCTCTCTCTCTCTCTCTCTCTCTCTCTCTCTCTCTCTCTCTCTCTCTCTCTCTCTCTCTCTCTCTCTCTCTCTCTCTCTCTCTCTCTCTCTCTCTCTCTCTCTCTCTCTCTCTCTCTCTCTCTCTCTCTCTCTCTCTCTCTCTCTCTCTCTCTCTCTATCTCTCTCTCTATCTCTCTCTCCCTGCATCGTTATTTGTATATGCGTATAACAGGTATATCGTGATATATCTCTCGCTCTAAATCTCAATTGCATCTCCTGTATATGGCCTGTCCTGCATCTTCTAAACATCTCCTGAGATGTTTTCAGTCTTATCCTGCATACGAAATGGACATTTTATCCTCTTATGCACATAATGCACCATTATCCTGGACAGGAGAAGGTGATACGTCACTTTTGTGAGCACAAATTGCGTCATTTTCCTCGACAGTAAGAGGAGCTAGCACCTTCCTGTGTATAAACAGCAACAATGTTCAGTTTTAAACGCAATATAAATCCCGAACAGAAATCACAACGTTTATCATTGCTTCATGGAAAATAATTTTCATGTCTGATGGATAATAAAACTGGAATTTTACTTTCACGTGCTTAGTCTCAATATTTTCATTTTTGTTTAGTATGTATTTATGAATAACTGCAGTAATTTATTTCATATTTAGTAGACATTTGTTTGAAATTTTTACTTGACATAAAATTATACCCAAATAGTAATAGTAATATAATAGGAATAGTAATATACTATTTTTTTATGCTGTAGGAGTGTGGAGTGAAACGGGTCTCAATATCTTGCAGGGGGACTGTTGATTGGGTTGGGCATGTTTCATCTGCTGCTGCTCTACAGGAAGAGACTAGAGGCGAAGGAGGCGCTGCTAGAGGCCAAAGAGGACTCCTACGACAGGTTGGCTCCTCTACTGTCCTGTTGAACAGTATATATATATATATATATATATATATATATATATATATATATATATATATATATATATATATATATATATATATATATATATAAATCCTTTGATTTCTGAATTATAATTTTTTTAAAACAGCTCAGATAAAGATATACATGGAGCAAAAAGTCTTGAGATTATAAAGTGAATATATGCGTATGGAATATTTATTAATTTTTATTTTTGTCATTATATAGTGTTTTTTATTTTGTAATTGAATTTACATTTAATATTTTCTAACATTAAACGTGCAATTGAAACATCAAAAACTTAAAGACAGTTACTGCTTGTTTATAGAACTCCCTGTCATGCTCTGGGATAGATAGGTTATCTCGTTATGCCCTGGGATAGACAGGTTATCGCGTCATGCTCTGGGATAGACAGGTTATCCCGTCATGCTCTGGGATAGACAGGTTATCCCGTCATGCTCTGGGATAGACAGGTTATCCCGTCATGCTCTGGGAAAGACAGGTTACCCCGTCATGCTCTGGGATAGACAGGTTATCCCGTTATGCCCTGGGATAGACAGGCTATCCTGTCATTCCCTGGTATAAACAGGCTATCCTGTCATTCCCCGGGATAGACAGGTTATCCCGTCATTCCCCGGGATAGACAGGTTCACTCCCTGGGTTCCAAACTGTTTATACTGTATTCTCCATTATACCAATTAATATACATTTAGTATAACTATTGTAGGAATGACAATCGAAGGTATACTTAATTCATCTTTGTTTTTTTAAGCAGATACGATGACGAAATGGACACCACCGTTCAGGATGCTGGCAACACTCACACAGACTCAGACACAGCATCCACTCACGACTACATTCTTCAGGTGTAGTGTCCACATACAGTTGTATTTGTCTCATCTCAAGTCTACCTGTAGCCAGCTGACTCATCTCAAGTCTACCTGTAGCCAGCTGACTCATCTCAAGTCTACCTGTAGCTGGCTGACTCATCTCAAGTCTACCTGTAGATAGCTGACTCATCTCAAGTCTACCTGTAGCTGGCTGACTCATCTCAAGTCTACCTGTAGCTGGCTGACTCATCTCAAGTCTACCTGTAGCTGGCTGACTCATCTCAAGTCTACCTGTAGCTAGCTGACTCATCTCAAATCGACAGACATCTAGGAACTGCCTGATATCATGTCTAGACAAAGCTGTAGATGCCTCATCTAAGACTATATCTTTGAAACTGTCATGTCAGATCTAGTACTCTGGACACTGACCTTACCCATCGTGGTAAAATGGACGGGCTCACCCTGGTGGGCACCAGGAGATTGACATCAATACCCCACGTGCCCAGGCGAATGACATCACTACCCAAGTACCCAGTGACCGATACTAGTACCCAGGTAGGGTTCAGTCACCGGGGGCATTATCAGGAGACCGTCAGGAACAAGGTAACAAGCCTGCAGTCAGTCCTCATAAACAGACTAAATATTCATTTATGCAGCATACAAACTCACGTTTTATGACGGAAACCATTTGGCACACGACTCTCAACTGTTGAATATCGAACTTTTCTCGAAGATCTTCGAAGAAAGAAAGACTTCGGTGACTTCATCTGTTGGAGTCGCACCTCTGTAAATGATTTACAAACGTGCTACAATTATATGTAATTGCCATCAGGACGTAACCACTGATTAGCTGGCAGCCTGTCTCGCCAGACGAACTCGACTCCAAACCTCCTAAACGCGTGTCAACCTTCTCCGTGAAGGAATATCACTATGATCAGACCATGTGTGACATTCATCATGGTAGATCAATACATTTCTTGTGTTTATATTACAAAATTGATTGCACAATGTATGATAGCACAATTTCTTTGTACTCTATATAGATTATAACTCTCTCTTTCTCTCTCTCTTCGAGAAAAGGCAAATAGAAAACGGCGCAGAAGGGATTGACTATGTATACAATGATTGTCAAAAGCTGTACAACTCCGTCCCGCATAAAAGGATCCAATAGAAACTTGAGAACAAAGCGATAATATAATAATGTAATAATATTATATATAATGTGACTATAAGCGATGCAGTGGGTGATGGGATACCTCTCGGATTGGAAACAGAGACTAGCGGTGAGAGGGAAGACGGTGCGTCGTGAGATCACACTTGGGGGTGCCGCAGGGATCGACTCTGGGAGCCAGCCTGTTCCTAATACTATTCAACGACCGGATAGAGTAAATAAGATCACTCGTATGGCTTTTTAAACTGAGGAGATGAATCAGAACGAGAGATGCCTGAAAATGGTCATTGGGAGCCCTTCGATGCTCTTCAGAGACTTGGGAGAGGTAAATTGATGGATTGGAAGTATAGCCTGACAGGTGAGTGGACATCGCTCGAGATTCGTAGTCCTAAGGTTCCGGGTTCGATCCTCGGCGGAAGCGGAAACAAATGGGAAGAGTTTCCTTCACCCTGATGGACTGTTCACCTAGCAATAAATAGGTACTTGGGGGTTAGACAGCTGCTTCGAGCTGCTTCCTGGGGGTGTGTAACAAAAACGAGGCCTGGTTAAGGACCGGGCCGCTGGGACGGTAAGCCCCGAAATCATCTCAAGATAACTTCAAGATAGGCATTGTTCAAAATGTGAAAAATTTGAAAATTTGAACACAACACATTATCAATGATGCGGTTCATATACACAAGAAAGTTCGCCAATAGATTTAAAAACCTACCTAGCCTTACCCAACTTAATGTAGTCTAACCTAGCCTAACCTAACCTAACCTAACCTAACCTAACCTAACCTAACCTAACCTAGCTTAACCCAAACGAACCTAACACAACCTCCCCTAAACTAATCCACCTGTATATGTGAGGTCAGGTGTAAATATCTGTATGATGATCTAGACCCACAGAGACGTGTATGATGATCTAGACCCACAGAGACGTGTATGATGATCTAGACCCACAGAGACGTGTATGATGATCTAGACCCACAGAGACGTGTATGATGATCTAGACCCACAGAGACGACATGATTGGCCAAAATAATCAGCTTCGTGATGATGCAGTGTTGTGACTGTTTAATGGTGTTGCAGCTGTCTCCTTGTGTTGCAACGGCTTACTCATGTTGCAAATGTTGTGTTGAAGGTAAAGGAATTGTGTGTGTAAACATTGCAAGAAGTAACTTGTAAATGTTTACCGATAAGACTAATTTTTTGCGTGTGTAAACTAACATTATTTCTATAAATACAGATAGTTGCTGCTCACTATTAGCTCATAGACGTGTATATAATTGATTTTAAGTCATTGTTACATAGAGTTGTTGCTGTTGGCAGTCAGTCAGCTGTCATATGATTGATTATATGCAGCAACTCGAGCCATGAATATACAGCCTATCCATCTGTTGTGGTAGTACTTTTAGTACCGATGAGGACCATAGTACATGTACCGACGTACAATACAAATTGAAAGTAGAAATCTGTACTATTGAATTTGACAAACCGGAGAAGATTTTGTATTTGTTGCAAAAGACCACCTAACCTAACCTTCCTAGGCCTAATACACGCTATCTGAGACTTAATATAATACATATGTGTGCTATACTAGGCTTTAGGAATATTTTTTTCAGACACTATAACGTGAATAGTACCAAATTCTTCTATCTAACTGCTTAGTACGTCAATGTTTGTACTATGGTGTACATAGTTACAAAAGCTACTATCTAAACAGAAAGATCGGTTGGAATATAAATGTATCAGATCATCAATTTTTTTTAGCTTATTGATGTATATTGATGATTTTGTCACGCCTGGACTTACAAAGGAACGCACAGACGTTTCGAATTATTGTGTAAATATTTGTATTGACAGTAACAATTAAAAAATAATTATTCCGTTTGTTGTAGTTATCTTATCCTATTAAGGACCCGGATTCACGAAGCAGTTACGCAAGTACTTACGAGCGTGTACACCTTTCCCTCAATCTTTGACGGCTTTGGTTACATTTATTAAACGTTTTACAAGCATGAAAACTTGCCAATCAACTGTTGTTATTGTTATAAACAGCCTCCTGGTGCTTCAGAGCTCATTAACTGTTTAATAATTGGAAACAAAGCCGCCAAAGATTGAGAAATGATGAACAGGTTCGTAAGTGCTTGCGTAACTGCTTCATGAATCTGGCCCCCGGCTCTTGGTGTGTCTGAACCGGGGGCGCGGCCCTCCGGCGTTTGCTTGGCGTCATTGGGACCCCCCCCCCCTTCCCCCTATCCGCCGTTCGGAGACGATTGGTCTCGAATTCTCGGGCAAGGCATCGTACCTCGGTGTGGAAGTGGCCAACCTGGACATGTTCCGGGTGAGTGTGGCAGATGTTAGTGGGGTGCAGCTCCTCACCAACCATCGAGCGCTTGTGAAGTTCAGCTCTCCGGCTGTTTAATCATGATTTGGTGGCCCGTTATCATGGCCGCTTGTTTTCCCTCCCTGCTGACGGTTTCATGGATGAAAAACGGTTTACACACGACCCGTCGTCGACTCAAGTCCATTCCATCCAGCGGTCGACCTCACAGACGCATTCATAAATTTTAACATGCTTTTCATTCAAAACGGAAATTTTCTCAAATATAAATAAATATTATAATATATGGGCATATTATGCACATATTTGCATAGGTTAGGTTAGGTGTTTAGGTTCTGTTAGCGTTTTATTTGTATTTGTAGTACGTGGGTAGTAGTATTTGTAGTACATTTGCAGCGTTGTGGTTCGAACACAAGTCGTCAGTGAAGCACTTGTTCCGGAAATGTTCGGACGTCATCAGTTGTGAGTCGTGTATAAACCGCTTTTCATTCATAAACAGGGGGTTTGGCGGGTAGATGGAATCACTTTTGAGTCTTTGTTTGGAAGACGGGCTGTTACACACGACTCACAAATGTTGACGTTCGAACACTTCCAGAACAAGTGCTTTACAGCAGCCCGTCCTCCAAACAAAGACCCAAAAGTGATTCCATGCACCCGCCAAACCCCCTGTTTATGAATGAAAAGCGGTTTACACACGACTCACAATTGCTGACATTCGAACATATCCGGAACAAGTGTTTCACTGACGAATTTTGTTCGAATCACAACGCTATAAATGCTTCACCCACGTACTACAAATACAAATAATCGCCAACAGAACCTAAACACCTAACCTAACCTATCCTATGCCTTTATATACATAATATGCTACTATATTATAATATTAATTTATACTTGAGAAAATTCCCGTTTTGAGTGAACAGCATGTTAAAATTTATGAATGCGTCTGTGGGGTTGACCGCTGAATGTAATGGACTTGAGTCGAGGACGGGTTGTTTACAGACGAATTTTGTTCGAACCACATCGCCATAAATGCCTCACCCACGTACTACAAACACAAATAATACGCTAACAGAACCTAAACACCTAATCTGACCTATGACTATATATGCACGATATGCTAATACATTATAATATTAATTTATATTTGAGAAAATTCTTGTTTTGAATGAACAGTATATACAAATTTATGAATGCGTCTGTGGGGTCGACCGCTGGATGGAATGGACCTGGGTCTAGGACGGGTTGCTCCAGGTCCCCTCGTTAGGTCGTTAGCTATACATAGTGAGGGTCGTGCGTGCCCTGAAGTGTACTTGGTGTTGGTTGACCATTATTATTCCCTATTATAACTCTGTGTAGTATTTACCCCAAACTCCTCATAGCTTAGCTCAGTCGATTAAGGTAGCGTCTGGGATGCTCTCGGACGCAGGTTCGAATCCTCGTCACGGCCCTTGTGGATTTGTTCCTCATAGCTGTTTACATTGAACACAGATATTATGATCTGTAAGCTTAATAATCGCACGTTATAGGTAAATTAATTTGCTGTTTCAAGAAGTTGCCAAAAGGCTTTGAATTTCCAAGAATTGCTTGCTTGCATCGGCACATACATCAATAAATTATACAACAGGTCTAATGATGTCATTGGATAGCAAATGCAGTGACATGTTAAATACGAGTTAATACGCGAATATACATAGGAATATATTCTAAATTTGAACAATTTATCAATAATTGTTTATTTTTATTTTTGTTTGGAGAAATAATTGGGAGAAACAAATCCACAAGGGCCGTGACGAGGATTCGAACCTGCGTCCGGGAGCATCCCAGACACTGCCTTAATCGACTGAGCTATGACAGGCTTAAAAAGAGTTGAAACCGAAGTTCTACTGAACTTATTGGATCCCGTAGCCTCTCTGAGGCACAAACCAGGATTTAACACAACTCCCCCCTGCACCCGAGCTATGTCAATAGGCCGTTCTCCCTTTTCGCCCCTACATCATTACACACACAGATCACACAACACACGAGTGTCTCTCCAGTGGTGGAGTACACGTGAGTGTCTCTCAGTGGTGGAGTACACACGAGTGTCTCTCAGTGGTGGAGTACACGTGAGTGTCTCTCCAGTGGTGGAGTATACGTGAGTGTCTCTCAGTGGTGGAGTACACACGAGTGTCTCTCAGTGGTGGAGAACACGTGAGTGTCTCTCCAGTGGTGGAGTATACGTGAGTGTCTCTCAGTGGTGGTGAACACACGAGTGTCTCTCCAGTGGTGGAGTACACATGAGTGTCTCTCCAGTGGTGGAGTACACATGAGTGTTTCTCCAGTGGTGGAGTACACATGAGTGTCTCTCCAGTGGTGGAGTACACATGAGTGTCTCTCCAGTGGTGGAGTACACATGAGTGTCTCTCCAGTGGTGGAGTACACATGAGTGTCTCTCCAGTGGTGGAGTACACATGAGTGTCTCTCAGTGGTGGAGTACACGTGAGTGTCTCTCCAGTGGTGGAGTACACGTGAGTGTCTCTCCAGTGGTGGAGTACACGTGAGTGTCAAGCTAAAAAAAACGTCCATGAGTCATATTTACGACATTTTCGATATTTTGAAACTCCAAATTGATCAGATTTTGCCAAAATCCTCCGACAGTTTTCAAAAAATAGGAAATATGACTCTTGAGCGCCATGTTTGAGCCGAATTATGGCTCATTGCACATATTTGGAGATTGAAATTACGACTTTCTATACCGAAAATATGTGACACAGGCAGATAGACAGACTGACAGACAAACAGACAGACAGACAGACAGACAGACAGACAGACAGACAGACAGACAGACAGACAGACAGACAGACACAGAAAATAACCATTGACATAAGGGAATATAGGAATTAGCTTGAATGAGTCTCAGAGAAAAGAATGGCTGGAAAAAAAACATTAAACAAAAACTGATGAAGGTTCAAATAAAATAAAATAGAATTCTAAAACTCAAAAAATGGCTCTGGTAATTTATGCGTTGACGAAATGCAGGTGGAAACGAGCTGCCTTTGCCTGCAGGCTCACCTTTCCATGATTATAAACATAAGGATAAGAAAACAAAGCAGAGAATGACCCCTTTTAAGAAAATGTAAAAGCCACTTTGTCTTATATTGGATAACGAAAAC